TTCATTACCTCGTTACCGATCGACGGGAGAACCTTCTCGTCATACTCGAGACCTAGGTTTTTGAAAATATAGGGAAGACGTGAAACTTCTGGGCGTGAGAGGACACGGAGGGTGAGGTGGACCATCTGGAGATCCTTCGTGCCGGAGACGGAGGAGAATGTGTGGGGCCTAGTACGGATATCAAAGATGAAAGGCTTTTGAAGCCATGGGACGAGGAAATGAGTACCTTCGCCGACGGTATCATCGATGACTCCTCGAAATCGGTCGAAGAGGACGGCGCGTTGACCACCGTCGACGGTGTAGAGGGAGGAGTTGAGAACGGTGGCGCCGATACCGAGACCGAAGGCGGCGCGTGCAATGTTCGTGAGGAATGATACTGCTGCTTGGTTGCTACCCATTTTTTTGCTTTCACAGAAAGTTTGGGTTTTTGGAAACTGGAGGAATGATGTAGAGGGTTTTTGATGAGAAGCCCTGAAACCCTAACTAATAAAACGGGTATGACCCGGAACAAATGGGTCAGAGGATATAGAGCGGACATGACAAAATCCGTAACTTATCAAGTATATGACCTTAAATAGATTCAAGATAAGGGTAGAAGATTAGTAGATAATCGAAAGTCATTCAGTTTTCTTGATCAATATTGCAATTATTACTCTCTTACAATCTTATTCTTTGATTTTACTATCATATGTTGGTTCTTCTAATTCGATTACGGTATCTCTTCTTCTTTATTTTCACATGGCATCTTTATTACTATGTTTCCTTCTCATACTTGTTTTTAGTATACTCTACTTGAGTCGAGAGTCTACTAGACTCTCTATCTTCACAAGGTAAGGGGTGAGACTACATATATACCACCTTTTCAAACCCTACTTATGATATTATTGTTGTTATATACCTTAACTTCAACTATGCTTGATTTAGCATGATTCGTTAGAAATGTTGTCCTATTTTTGTGAAAAAATTTGTGAATGTCAAACGAAAACACTCATCGATACTACTAGACCATTAAGGAAAAATTGTATGATATAGCAAATTATTAATTCAAATAAATGTTATAGTCATAGTTTAAAGCATGATAGTAAAAAAATATGATAACAAAATTGCAAGATACTAAGCAAACAAAGAAACATAATAACAAAAAGATAATAACACATATTTAAAAAACACAACCTACACGATTACTTGATCGGTTCACTTGTATTTGTTCAATAAACTAAAAACTCATGCCTACTTCAAAAAAATAAGAAAAAATTTATCATTTAATTTCTAATTTATTTTTGTTATTACCTACCATAGTAGTTTTCAAAATATTCAAATTTATCATATTCAAATGTTAATAGGATAGAATTCTAATTTTTAAAAGGGGTGTTAAATCAAATACTGAACAATAAAAATGAACAGAGCAAATTACATAATTACACTTAATTATAGAAATGTTAATGTTGATTAAGTTTATTCTTTTCCCAATTACATAGTTAAACTTAATTATAGAAATGTTAATGTTGATTAAGTTTATTCTTTTCCCAATTACATAGTTAAACTTAATTATAGAAATGTTAATGTTGATTAAGTTTATTCTTTTCCCAATTACATAGTTAAACTTAATTATAGAAATGTTAATGTTGATTAAGTTTATTCTTTTCCCAATTACATAGTTAAACTTAATTATAGAAATGTTAATGTTGATTAAGTTTATTCTTTTCCCAATTACATAGTTAAACTTAATTATAGAAATGTTAATGTTGATTAAGTTTATTCTTTTCCCAATTACATAGTTAAACTTAATTATAGAAATGTTAATGTTGATTAAGTTTATTCTTTTCCCAATTACATAGTTAAACTTAATTATAGAAATGTTAATGTTGATTAAGTTTATTCTTTTCCCAAAATGCCATCAATAGAGTATGGATGTATTGAACCAATCAAAAGCTGTAGATTACCATAGAAGGCTCTTTGCTTAAAAAACCCTCTGCCTATATAAACCCTACCAACACTGTAATTTGATTCACTTCTAGCTCTCCTCCGCCTTCCCCTTCACTTCCCCCACCACCCACCCTCGTTTTTTCGCCTTCTCCGGTTCCGTCCCTATCTGGGTAAGCTACTTTTCGACTTTTCTTGATTTGATTCAGTTCTGTTTTGATGATTATGTAGTAAAAATTTGATCTTTTTCTTTTTTATTGTGTTTTTTTTTGGGAATTTGTATGTGGGGTTTGAAGGGTTTGATTGATTACTGCGATTCTTGATTGTGTTGCTCATTTCTGTGTTTTTGTTGATATGTTAAACTGGTTTAGTTTTCTTCCTTATATGGCGTTATTGTTGAAATGTGTATTTAGGTTTTTTGTTTTTGGTTCTACTTGTTGATCACTGTGATTGTAATTTAGGAAATTGATTCTGTTCTCCTTTGATTGCAATTTAGTCAAAATTTGATCTTTTTCCTTAATATTGTGTTTTGTTTTTGAAATTTGTATGTGGGGTTTGAGGGTTTGATTGATAACTGCATTTCTTTATTGTTTTGCCCGTTTCTGTGTTTCTGTTGTTGCATTTGAACTGGTTTTATTGTTGAAATCTGTATTTAGGGGTTTTTGATTCTACTGGTTGATTACGGTGATGGTAATTTAGTCAATTGTTATAGTAAAAACTGTTGGGCTCCCATGAACCTTTAGTTACACTGTGGATCCGTCAGTGACTCGGAACCATTGATTGTTAGGATAACCAGAACGACTCACTAACTGACTTAGAACTTGTGGTGGTTCAAACAGGAGTGCTGAAAACTCACAATACTATTATAAAAACTCAAGAATAGGTACTCATAAGATATGAATTTTTTATAATAATATTGTGAGTTTTCAGCACTCCTGTTTGAACCACCATAGGTTCTAAGTCAGTTAGTGAGTCGTTCTGGTTATCCTAACAATCAATGGTTCCGAGTCACTGACGGATCCACAGTGTAACTAAAGGTTCATGGGAGCCCAACAGTTTTTACTATAACAATTGACTAAATTACCATCACCGTAATCAACCAGTAGAATCAAAAACCCCTAAATACAGATTTCAACAATAAAACCAGTTCAAATGCAACAACAGAAACACAGAAACGGGCAAAACAATAAAGAAATGCAGTTATCAATCAAACCCTCAAACCCCACATACAAATTTCAAAAACAAAACACAATATTAAGGAAAAAGATCAAATTTTGACTAAATTGCAATCAAAGGAGAACAGAATCAATTTCCTAAATTACAATCACAGTGATCAACAAGTAGAACCAAAAACAAAAAAACTTTTACCAAGACTTCGTATATGTATTAAAATATCTATAATATTTGAACGTGAACCTAAATGTTGTTGTATATTAACCTGGCCCCAGGAATACATAAACTTCAAAGCTTGGATTATCCTCTAATATGTCCTTAGGAATTCATAAACTTCAAATCTTGGATCAGCCTCTAACTCCCAATTGGCAAACATCTAAATATCCAGGCATTTAGCAATAATTTAAGGTACCCATTAACTTATATCAATCCATCCAAACAGGACCTTCTTTCATGTTTAGAGAACTTGATAGTTAGTGTTATATTTAACAACTAGATACCGTGCGTGATATGCGTCTTTTGTGTGCAAAATTTAGCTTAGGTTATTCTTTGAAAGTGGGGCTTAATATGTTTCTATGTAGTGGGGTGGTTAGTGGGTATTTAGGAAGATATATGTAACTGGCTTCAAAACTTAATGACACCGAGCTCCGAGCTCTCCTTGTATTATTAGAGTAATTATTCAGCTACAAAGATTATTAGTTACTATATTTTATTGATGGGTATCCAATAGGGGTGTCCGTACTTTCATTTTGCTCATTTGGGGTACTTCGAAGAATCTAAATTAAGTACCTATACATGTCTTTTGACACGGTAAATGTCCTTGTATATAGGTAGTTACTGGAGTGTAATTGGACAGTATCTCCAGTTCTTTAAGGGATAAATGTGCCATAGTATAATATCATCCTATTTCCATTACTCAATTAAGTTAAATAGGATATTGCATCTGAATGTAATAATTTACTGGATAATGCCTCTAGTTTGCTCTTCATAGACTTGATTTTCGGAGAACCAGAAATATTTGGATCATATTTTGAAGAGTAAGTAATCCTTATGTGCCAATGTCAATTAAAAACCTGGTTCATCTATCAATTGCTTCTCAATTAAGGGAATATATTGTGCAAGTGAATTTATTTCCTGAATTTTGAACCTATTTGCTACATGATACTTTAAATTCACATGTGGTTCCTCTGTGAAGAGCTCATTGGATCTGGTGTCAATGCCAACAACTATAGAAACACAATTTTTCAGTTCTGGAAACTTTAAGAAAAAGGGATGTGTATGAATTGATCCAAGACTAGATGCCGTTAAAGTGAGTTCTGTATGATTATTTTGTCTTTGTGTTTTTCCTATTATTTTGGAAATGACTCGGTAGCATACAAAAACATATACATACAAAAGAGAAGATAGTGGAGACACAGAAAGGAAGTTGGTGTTGCAGTGACTCTCTCATTAAGACTGGATCTTGCAAACGATGTTCCTCCTAGAAATCTATAGCATATATCTTTCTTATATATGCATTTTTTATTTTCTAATTAACTTACTTCAATATAAGAAAAGATTATCCTTATTTTCTAATTATCTTGCTTCATGAAGTCTAAGCTTAAGGTCTTGTTGACTACTATATTCCTCTCTGTTCAAAATATGCCCCTCCCTTTTTGCTTTTCTTTTTTCTTCTATACAAACAAATATCAAGCTCTTGTCATCAATGCAGTACTAAATCTCTCAGATGCTCGGTCTTCGTATGTTTATGCTGTAGTTCAGCAAGAGAGATGGAGTTGCTACTATTATTTGGTGTTCAGTTTGCAACGACTTTTATGGTGTAATATCTTATTACGCATAAGTTTGTGATGATGGAAGCTTCTCAAGTTGAAGATTGAATTTAACTGATAATTCTTTTTTTGAAGATCGAGTTCCAGCAGGAAAATCTTACTGTTTGTTAACACTGGGTAACAGAAAAGGTGGTCTGGAAGTATGCCTAATATTTTCTTGAAAAATGCAGCCCCTGATTTGTATTATTGTTGTTGAGTATTTTAACTGATAACTTTCCATCGCTATTATTTGGAAGGATTAAGTTTTAGTTAAGTTGGTACATGTTTACTGGTTGTCCAATACAAGTGTTTTGGTCTTGTTAGATATTTGTGTTATTGAAAACTTCTAATAGTAGGGAACCTAACCTTCAAATATTGGATTGAGATGGGTTTAAATGGAGCATAAATGTGAGAATTCCATAATCGAGCCTAACTAGACGGGGATTGAGGCGTATTTATTCTATTCTCATGAGATTCCAAGTGGGGTGTTTACTTCAGCTTTTACTTTTCCCTCTCTTCTTTATGTAGGTGAAGATATAAACACGAGAACAGAAGATCTTTGCAAGCAAATAGAACCTAAGGTTACTCTGAGATGTTTGTTGTTGTTGTTGTTGTCGTCATCGTTGTACTCTTACATTTGGTCCAATATATGCTAAGAGTCTTTTAGGTTGTTAGAAATTTATATGTCAGTAACATGTGTAGAACTTCTCATGCTACAGAACTTAAATTTTCAAATGTTGGATTGAGACATGTTTAAATGGAGCGACATGAAAAGTGAGAACTCATATAGTCTAGCTCACCGAGATTAGAATTAAGGCATAGTTGTATTCTCAAGAAGGATTCCAAGTAGGGATTTTACTTTTCCCTCTCTTTTTGTGGTGAAAACATAAATATGAGAACTGAAAGATCTTTGCAACCAAACAGAACCTAAGGTTTCTGTGAAGAAAAACACTAGTGTTTTCATGGTCTTTGATACATGAGCAATTTACTCCTAACAGCTCTTTCAGTCAAGGTCCTCATGAAGGCCTTAGGCTACAACTAGTGCATTTAGTGCAACAGTGTATATAGTCTTTATGGTCAAGAAATTGCTTAGCACTATGAACTAAATCTGGACATTGTTGAGTATTAGAATTTAGATTAGGTAAAGTTTTCCGTGGAAGACACTGAGGATTTTGTAGGAGCAAGCAAGGACTAGCAGTGTCTTGAGAGGTCTACTGTGCTTATTATTGTATATTCTTTCTCTGTACTGACTCAGATATATTTAAATATCAATACATTCCTCTGGCTGTGTTTTTGGTTGCATTAAACTGTTAAGTGGTCAATCTTGTCAGTGTTTTGGCCCCTTCTAGCATGCAAGCGTTCTCTTGAGCTATTATTGAGTTTGTTTTTGTCCTTCCCTATTCATTAGGGCATTTTGTTGAATTTGACAAATGTTGAGTTAGTAACGCTGCACAAGAAATTACGTTTTGACATGATTTATACTGGTTGATGCTGCAGGGGCAAGGATTATGGCATTAACTTACATCAGATCATTGAGAAACGTTAACTTTCATGAGGTTATTCAAATAGGAGGCTGCAGAACATTTGCTGTTGGGGGTGGTAAAAAGAAGGGTGGAAAAGGTGGTGCAGCTGGAGATGGTCCTAAGGCATCAACAATTAGCAAGGAAGTCAAGGCCAGTACAGTAGTCGGGGCAAATATTCTCAAGGATGGAGCTGATCCAAAAGTGTTGCCCGACTCAGACTACCCTGATTGGCTGTGGCACCTGCTGGATAAACGCTCGGCACTTAGTGAACTGAGAAGGAAAAATCTCGAGTCTCTCCCTTACGATGACCTCAAACGTTTTGTCAAGCTGGATACCCGAGCTCGGATCAAGGAAAACAACTCTGTTAGGGCCAAGAACTGAAATTTCTGCCAGAAGTGGTATGTGTTCTGGAGAATATTTTTACCTGGAACTATAATTTGTTCTGTTGTGATAGAATACATTATTTAGAATTTAGCAGCAGTTTTTTATCTGCTTTACGCTTGATTTCCTTAAGTTCCTGTTACTATTTTGAACATGATTGAGCTCTTGGTTAACAGAATTTCAATATTTTTTATCGTCCGCTCACTTTTACTTGTCATGTTTTGATTTACGATTTACGATTCAATTTGACTAATCTTCGGAGATAAATTGAATTAGATTAATTCATTATTTAGAATTTTGATATTTGAAAGCTATATGAAAAATATTATAAGTTGCAATCCTTCTCATATTAATATGATAACAAATATCTTAAATTATTGGTCATAGTCTATACCCTTTGATTCTCGAGAAGCTAAATGTGAGAAGTAGGTTTTATAAGAATAGACACAACTTTTAAGAATATAATATAGATATATTTTAAGGTAAAGATATAAGAACAAACTTTATGTCGATACAACAAGGTTTTGATAAGAACAGACTTATGTCGATACCAACAAGGCTCTGATGGAATAGTAGGTATTTTTTCATGTTTAATTAAAAATTTCAAAATTGAATTATGTGTATGTCGATATAAATTTAGATTTAATCGGACTCAATGTGAATACCAAACGAGTGTGAAAATAAAAGAAAAACTTTATGCCCAGTTGTGTGAATTACCAACTTAGTTCTTTTGTTAACCTAATACAAAATTTTCAAATTATAATGATATATTAAGATAAAAAGAAACACGTTGAGATTATTGATAAAGCTTAGCCATAGTTAGAATAAATAATTATGATAAATTGCAGTAAACTAATGACGTTTGATTTTGTAACTTTGTACCGTTCACACATAGAGAACCTTTTTGTATAAATTAATCCATATATAGTTAGGTCAAAAAATTCATGAGTAACAATATGGTAGGTACATAATTCTACCAACATGGATTGTGTAGTGCAGGAGACTGCTTTACTCTTAACTAGAGGTCTCGAACTCGAGCCCTGATATAGAAAAATTCATGTTGGAAGTGTCACCCTCGAATGGTGGTGCAGTGTTTGAACTGCTTCACCCTTAACTAGAGAATTCGGGTTCGAGCCTTGAATGTGGAAAAAATCATGTTGAAAGCGCTACCCTCAAATGAGTTCTACAGTGCGCGATTTGAATTTAGAAATTTAATCGAACTCTAACGTGAACTCCAGATATCAATAGGAAACCAAAAAAAGGTACATAATTCTAAATGCACCAATAACTCCTTTCAAAACACTTTGTTATATATTTATTATTATTCACAACTTCATCGTATATTTTCACCTTTAAATCATTATCCAAAATTATTATAAAAATATATAAATATCGTATTTTAGCTTTCCAATTTGATCACGTGAAATGCATGATGTATCCCCCATAAAAACATAATCCAAACAGAATCATTTTTTTGTTGCATTAATAGCCACAAAATAAAATATCCCACCCACCCATACTTTTCTCACATGCCTAATTTCAGAATTGTACCCTCAAATTCCCATTTACCAAATAGCCCCCCACAACTTTATCATATCCAATAGATCAATATATCGCTCTATCTTCACATGGTAGTGAATTTATGGTTATTTCGGCTGTGTTATCAGAAGCTCTAGAAAAGTCGAAATAGGAGGGCTTGATGGGCTTACTATTTAAATATTTTCAATAGTAATTCACTCTGCACTTGACTATCTAATATCGTGAGCACGATTATGAATAAGTATTTCTTTCCGATCTTTTCGTACTAGAAAAAAGACTTCTTAATGCTCCAATATTTTATTTTACTGTTAATAAAATGATTTATAATCATATAATCTATCACATAAATTGAGACGAATAAACGATCACGTTTAAAGTTTGTTTCTTATCCCATGAGGTTTCTCATTGATGTCACACAGGTGGCGTAGTGTCATCCTTACCTTCTATCTGACACTCACAAAGACGGTGCAGGAGTGGAGAAATAGAAATGGTAAAATTATATTATATATTTAAAATTAAAAAAAATTAAAATATTATTATTATAAAAATTGGTATAATACATAAATTGTCATGTATGATAGCACGTATAATAAATATGTCATTTGTTCAATTTTATATAAGTTTAAATGTCGACTTATACCCATTCGAAGTTAAAGTGCATAAACATCAGTTGAGGCCAAATTAAAGGGGACGTTTACTTAATTGATGGGACCCACTGCCAACTCTTCTACCTCTTAAACTCTCTCAATAATTTGATTACTCATTATTATCCCTCTGATAACGTGGCACGTGTCCACCGCATCACCGTGTACCCCTTTTATCTCCTACAATCGCATATATTCCGCTTTTCACCACTATAAAAAGGCATACACGTAGCAGAAAAAAATTTGAAGAACAATAATAACAATTTTCAGTTCCATTTTCAGAAATATGTCTTCTTCAGTAGTGCAATTAACTGCTTCACAGAAAAACAACAGTGATGATGGAAATGAACGGGTTGATTCTGATCAGCATCATCATCCTACGGCTCACAATGTCTCTCACACTTCTGAAACTTTTCTTCAAGCTGCAATCTCTCTCAAAGATCAGGTGAGTTATTATCAGTTGAGATTTGCTTGAAAATTGTAGTTGCTTGCTTATATGAATTGTATATTGATTTCGCATTAATCAAGCTTAGAAAAACGAGATTCAGTTGTGAATTTGTTGCTAAATAGAGTAATTAATAGAGTTTTTTGATAATTTGTTGCTAATGGATCAATTTTTTTTGTTGTATCAGTATAAGAAAAAACTAGATTCGGTAATTAATTGAATATTTTGGTAATTTGTTGCTCTTTTATCAAGTTTTGTAATAGAACTGCAAAAAAAAAACTAGATTTAGTTACGAATTTTGTAGCTAACTAGAGTAATTAGTAGGATTTTTTTATAATTTGTTGCGATCAAGTTTTTGTAATATATCCGTACAAGAGAAAACTGGATTCGGTTATGAATTTTGTTGTTAATGTGTTGCTAGATAGAGCAATTAATAGAGTATTTTTTTCTCGATAATTTGTTGCTAATCGAAGTATTTATAGTTTACTGGCAACTGTGTTTATTGATCATTTGAGCTAATTGTTGGTAAAATATACTGTAATAATGTGTTTGGGTTTGAGTTTGAGTTTGAGATCGGCAATCTTTTGCTACATTTATGTAGCGGGTTTTTTTTTCCTCAGCTATGAAAATTGAGAAATTCTAGTTTTCGTGAAAACTGAACTAAAATTAAGGAGATCGGAGACTTTCTCATTTTATTTTGCCGGAAAATCCGCCGGAAATTGTCATAGTACGGAGAAGTTCGTGAGAACTACTGTATATATCCATTTTCCTGTCGAAAAACGCCGGGAAATAGTTATTTTCCGGTGTAAATTTGCGTAGTGCGGGGCGATTTTGGCAACTGAATGCTGAATTTTGTGTGATTCTGTGATGAATTCAGGTAGTAGAAATGACATGGAAAGAAAACGGAAGGAGTGCCGGCAGCGTTACAGATCCGACGATGTATACAGGTTTGCTAGGGACGGCGTTTACCTGTTTGAGGTCGTACGAGGCCACCGGTGATCGGAAGGACTTGGAATTGTGCTCGGAGATAGTTGACGCGTGTGCCGACCTTGCACGCACAGTCACGAGGTTCTAATTTTTTTAAATCAACTTAATCCTAATACTCAATTGAATGAGTAATTAATTTGACTTAAGGACGTTCGTTTGTTGTTATGGAATAAAGAAATTTTAAAACTATACGACTACGTCAAGAGTTGGTGTAGGGCCGATTTATTCGAGAATATAATAGGGGAAGTGAACAGATACCCATTAAAGTTATGCCTTAGGTTGTATAAAAAAATGCACGTTTAATTACTCTGGAACAACTTTTGATATGCAGTGTCTAAAGCGAGTCTGGCTGAAATTCAAGCATTTCTAGCTAAAATTCCAACAAAAATGATTTATGAATAGTACTATGAAATGTATGGGAAGGCTGATTTCAGACTTATTAATGGTGACTAGATAGTGACAAAGCATGCTAGGAAATAATGTACTCTAATTCTTTGTTTTCTTAGCTTTATATTTTAGTGTGTTTCTCTGTGCTGGTCCAAACATGTATTAATGAAATGAGAAAGTGCTACTGCTTTCTTTGTCAAAAATTGAATTCTAACGACTGGTTCTTTGATGAGTAAAGTCTATTTTTGTGGTCACGGAGGAAAATTGTAAAAGAGAACAACTGGGTTAGATATAATTTTGTACAGACAAAAGAATCACATCTTGGATAATAGTATCATGCTAGCTTGGTCTTTGCAAGAACTGTCGCCGTCACTCCCTAGAACTTGAGAATCAGATGCCTTTTTGAAAGATATACCTTAAGATATCTCCAAAAGACACATGCTAAAATATTGAAGTATGAGATGTGTAACGTGGAGCAATCAAATCTACACCTTTGTGGAACTCTCCCTCCACCCCTCTACTGGTCGCGAAGTTTGAGAAGAAAGAAAAACGTTTTTAACTTGTGGTCTAAAATAAATCTGGATATTTGTGTGACTATTAAATGAGATGTGTAACGTGGAGCAATCAAATCTACACCTTTGTGGAACTCTCCTCACCCCTCTACTGGTCGCGAAGTTTGAGAAGAAAGAAAAACGTTTTTAACTTGTGGTCTAAAATAAATCTGGATATTTGTGTGACTATTAAATGAGATGTGTAACGTGGAGCAATCAAGTCTACACCTTTGTGGAACTCTCCCTCTGTCCCCCTCTCCATTCATGCTACTGGTTGCGAAGTTTAAGAAGAAAGAAAAACGTTTTGAACTTGTGGTCTAAAATAAATCTGGATATTTGTGTGACTATAAAATCATCTTATTAAAGATGAAATGGAAGAATGAAAGTTGATTTGTTTTTATTATATAGATAAGTCATTATTTTGCGACGAACTAAAATGAAAATTGTATCACATAAATTGGGACAAAGAAAATAGTATAGTACTTATAATAGAATACTGAACGATATGGTGCATGTATCATACGCGAGCTTGATCTTTTGATCTTTGGGAGCCGACTAGTGATTGAAATCGAATCTAGTTGTGAGTTTGGAGCCATGATTTTAGTGTGTAGAATTCATTTACTTTAAGTCTTTATTTTTG